GCATTTCTAAAGCCTTGATCCGTTTACTTACAACAAGATCAAAAGCATTAAGAAGCACACAGAGAGAGAGAGAGAGGGGAGCAGAAGAAAGACTTCCTCCTCACTGTTCATCCTGTTTCCTCTCTGATGATAACACTTTCAGCAATGATAATAATAAATAATATTTTGGTTCTAGGTTCCAGATACCATCCATGAGTATCTGACTCACTGAAACCTCAGAATTATTCCATAGTGGACACAATTAACACCCCCACCTTACAGATCAGGAACTTGAGATCAAGTGGTAAGTTCCTTGAGGAAGGCTGCAGAACCAGAATGTGGCAGGGCTATGATCCCCTGCTCGGACGGGGACAGAACACTTCAGCTAACCTTACTGGCTGTGGAGATTCAGTTCTACTCCATGTCCAGAGACCTCGGTGTGTGCACAGGATGAGCACTGCACAGACCGAGCCAGGGCTGGTGGAGGTGGGCAGGTGGCCAGAACACACAGGCGTGTGGGCTGCGGCGTTCTATGAGGTCTCACCGCTATGTACTTCAACAGCCTGACCAGCTGGCCAACTGTCTCCCAGGCTTCTGTGGATCTTTCTCTCTTTGCCTATCGTCTAATCACAGAGCGGTCACCCACCTGTGTCACACCCTGCACGTGTCAACCCACCGGCTTCAGGGAACTGTCAACACAAGCCAGGGACATCTGTCTAGATTTGTGCTGTCCCACTCAGTAGCCACTAACCACATGTAGCTCTTTAAGTTTAAGTCAGTCGGAATGAAATGGAATGGAGACCCCTGCCCCTCAGTGGAAGCAGCCCTATTTCATGTGCTCACTAGTGCACGTGGCTGACGGCCACCTGATAGCAAACAGGACACTTCTGTCATTGAAGAGCTCTACTAGCCAAGGCTAGGTCATCAGCCCTGTTTTACAGAAGAGGAAACTGAGGCTCAGAGAGGAAGTGGAGGGGCTGGGAGGGGCATCCAGAGTTGACAGTTGTTGTCAGCCCCTGAGAGGGAGAGGGGCAGGGTGGGAGGCTGTGTGGACCGGAGTGTGTGCACGTGTGCAACTGCACTGGGCACGTGTGGGTGTGTGTCGCAGGGTCTCTGGGCCGCCCTCTCTCAGCATCACTAAAGGTCCAGGATCCACCATTTCCTATTTTAGCTTCTCTCAGTACCTGCGTGTCTGCCTCTGATTCTCGGCCTGTCTCTCTGTGTCCAGAACTACCCGGCTCCCCTCTATTGCTTTCTCTGTTCCATTTCTCTTTCTCTTTCTGAATCAATCTCTTGTGACTTTCTTTTCCTGTATCTCTGTCCCTTTTTCTATCTTATCTCAAGGTATCAAGGTCCAAATTGACCTCTCTGTTCCTCAGGCCTCATTTTCTTAAATCCCCCTACCTCTGGATTGTAGCCTACCCCCTCCAGTGCTGCTCTTTGGTTTCTTCACCCCTGCCTCCTCTCTGTCCCCCACCTGTGTCCCTGGCCTGTCCCAGGCCCCCTCACATTCCCCCTTTCCAGGCCAAGGGCAAAGAATCTGGGCCAGACTAGCTCCCCCTATCTCTTCAGCCCCCCTCCCCTACCAGCCTTAAAAATAGCAGGAGAAATTGGGACGGACGCCGAGGGGGTGAGGGCGGGGGTGCGGCTTGAGGAGGAAGAACCAGGTGTCCGGACACTCACATCCGTCTGGGGGCCCTTCCCAGCGCCTGGACACTCGAAGGTCACAAATTCGTGGCATCGTCGATGAACCACAAAGCTGCAGACTGAAGGTGAAAATCATAGAGACACAGAGGCAAGGAGAGATGGGAAGATCCAGAGAGACCCCCGATAGTCACAAAATTGGAAAGAGACTCAAAATTCTGACAGAGACAACCACACAGAGAAGATTCCAGCGTACAGAGTCCAACAGATAGAAAATCAGAAGAGAGACCCTGGGCCGGGGGAGGGGGAACCAAGAATGTTCTCAGAGATGCAGAGAATCAGACTCAGAGCACAGAGCCCCCAGTGTGCAACCACAGCCCAAGGGAGACAGGGAGAAAGAAAGCAGCCTTCCACGGACCCACAGACCCCAGCCCACAGATGCAGATAAGAAAGCCAGGAGAGAGGCAGACAGATTTAAGGAGAGAAAACACAGAAATATCCTCAGACACAGCGGAGAGTGGCAACTTGGGCAGAAGTGAGTCTGGGGGCGCTGCTCCGGCCCGCCCCCCACCCTGACTCACTCTGTTCTCAGCAGTGGCAGCTGGTGCTTTAGGACTCGCCCCCCTTTCCGCCCCCCAGAACTGCCGGCCGGCTGGGCCCCCACCCGCCCATCCTTGACCCCACCCGGCCTGCCCCTGCCTAGAATGGCGTTGTCATGGTGATGGCTGCCTGGGTGGGGGGGCTCTGACTTTGCATCTCCAGCCCCTTCCCCCTTCAGCTCCCCTTTTCCAAATCTCCCTGTTCCCATGGCAACAGATTCTCCAAATATCTGTCCCCACCTGGAGCCGGCCGAGGGAGGGGCCCCCAGCACCACCTCCGCGGTGGCCCTGCCATCAGAACTCCCTCCCCACCACAGGCTGTGTCTCTGCCACACCCCCCGCCCCGGGCTCCCCCGCGCCTCTCTGGGGACCAGAGAACACGTGTGTCAGCAGCCTCAGCTGAGAAACCCCAGCCTCCACCCTCGGGGGTCCCAGCAGTCCAGGTCCCGGCTCTTACCTTGGCACTGCAGGCCCTGTTTTCCAATTCCCCTGGAAGAGCAAGGACCTGAGGTCAGCGCAGGGAAGGGTGGACCCTCCCACCTCTGAGAGCCATTGGAAGTCTGAGGTCTTGGCCTCCGACCTGCAGTTCTGGGCCCAGGTAGCTGAGCCCCAGCCAGAAATTCTGGTCCAGCCCCTCTTCCTTCAGACCCTGGATTCCAGCCCCCGCCCCTCCTCGCTCAGACCCAGGGGTCCGGACCCTAGGTTCCCACCCTCCTGGAACCCAGGAGTCGGGGCTGCAGCCCCTCTGTGCTCCTCCCTCGGAGGTCTGTGTGACACAAGTCTACACCTCCAGTCCCCTCCTCTCTCGGCCCCCAGCCCCTTCCCTCACCAGATGAAGTCGGTACAGTGGCTGCAGAAGGTTGGCTGCTTGAAGAAGCGAGCGGTGAACTTGTGGCTCTTGACTTCGTGGACAACCTTCTGCCTCAGGGCCCCCTTTCTGCAAAACAGGGGTCGGGGTCCCCCCTCTGGATCGCCTCCGCCGGGGCCCAGACCCGCCATGGCCCCAGGAATGCAGCAGGGACCAGGACCCTGCCTTTCTGGGGAAACAGGTGTACTGGAGAGGAGCGGGGACTCGGGAGATCCCGAGGTGGGCAGGAGAGGGGCGAGGCACCGCCAGGTGCGCAGCGCCGGCAGGAGCGGCACCCCCGCCGGCCCCGCCTGGGGCAGCGGGCGGGTGCGAGAGAGCAGAGCCCGGGCGCCGAGGAGCCGGAGGCACGGGCGGCGGCGGGAGCTTGGGCTCGGCACCTGCTGAAATGTGGGAGCCCCGGGTGGGGGGAGGCGTTGCCATGGCGACCGAGGGGCGGGGTTTCTGCTTAAAGGCGCCCCCCTCCCTGAGACATGGGTCGAATGCCCTCCCTCTCCCCTACACGTGCACACACCCACTCCGCGAATTGGCTGCGGGGAGAGGGCATTCTCTAAGCCTTGTCCCCGACAATCTGTTATCCTGATCGGCTCCCTTTTTCTTCCCACCCAGTTGCCTTGGTGTGTCCCGTTCGCCCCCTGCATCTCCCCTCGGGTCTCCGTCTTTCTGACGGTGTCACTCTGAGTCAATCAACAAACTTTCTGCTTAGTGCTGAAAATCCAATGGTGGACAGAGATTTGGTGTATTACTTTCTCCCATGCTACTGGAGTCTCTTTTTTCCCACGATCTGTGAATTTTTTTTCTATACGTCTCTCTCTGGAAGCGTCTCTTCCTCTTGACTTTGTCACTTTCCTTCTATTCGTGAAGATTCATATTCTCAATTTTCTCTCCCTTTCTCCCCCTCCCTCTCTCTCTCTCTCCCCCTTTCTCCCTAGATCTGTTTTCTTTGCCTGTCCGAGAACGTCTGTTTCCATTTCTCTCTTTCTTGGGCTGTGTGTCTCCATCAATGCCTGTCACCTCTCTGGGTCTTAGTGTTAGGAGGATCAGTCTCTGCCCCTCTCTCTGACTGTTCTTGCCTCTCTTCTCTCTCCCACATCCCTGCCTTTATACCTGCCTGTTTCTCTTTATGGCTAATCCGTTGGGCTTGCCTCTTTCTCCTCAATCTGTGGTTTAATGTTTCTCTTTGCCTGTCCTTCTCTGGTTCTGTCAATCTCTCTGTCGCTAGGGAAAAGCTCTGAATATTTGCCTCTGTCTCTCCTCCCCGTATCTCTTTGTGATTCAGCGTCTCTCCATTTTCTCTTCTCTGTCCCTTTCCCTCTGATCCTATTTGTCCCTCTGGCCCTGTGACTCTGTTTCTGGGGCTCACTCCTCTGTAGCTCCCTGGGAATCAATGTCCTGGAGGTTGCTTCTCCATGTCTCTGGCTCTGGTCATCTTGATCTCTGGGGGTGGTTCCTCTCCACCTGTGTCTCCCTGAGTGATTCCATCTCTGGAGTTCTCCCCCGTTGTCTCCCTAGGACTATTCATCTCTGGGGGTCGCCCCCGGCCCCAGTACTCTGTCTCTGGGGGTCGCCCCGCCCACCATTCCCGAGTGTCCAGCCCCAGGACTCTCCGTCTCTGGGCGTCGCTCCCCGAGTCTCCCTGGGAGTCCGTGCACCCCGGTTGCCGGCTGCGCGCATCTTCCCCGCTCCCCCTCCGCTGGGCGGTGTCCTCCACTAGCGCGCGCTTCCGGGTCGGGGCACGCGGAGGCCGCACTGTTGTCAGGACAACCAAGGCCCGCCCCGGGCTGCGGGCGCAGTGCACCCTGGGACCTGCAGTCCGCGTCGCGCTCAGGCTGAGCCCGGGGGCGGCCCGGACCTTCCTTTCCCGGCGAGCCGCGCGCGGTGGGCGGGGTCCCGCAGGCGCCGCTGCCCGGTTCTGAGCGCTCCCTCTGGAGGCGTGGGTCCTCTGCCTTCGCCCCAGCTCCAGGATTTCTGCTGGCAGACCCTGGAGACTGGACTAGGAGCCCCTCCGCCTTCTAGGCCAGCGGCCTCGGCCCTTTCCCGAGTGCCCAACGCTTTCCCCGCCCCCGTGGTGACGGTGAGAGCTATTCTTTCTGGTGCCTTCCGGAGGCCGGGGCAGGGGAGGGGAACGAGACGCCCTCTGAGAAGGCGGCTGGGTGCAGGTCGGACTCCCGCAGAGATGAAGCGGCTTTGCATTACCCAAAAGGAATGTGCCCTACTTGGCCCTACCCCGCCTTCTTCCAAACTTTTCAGTATCTCTTCCTAATTGCTTTTGCAGGTGTAAGGGCACAAAGGAGGTTGCGTGATTTTGGAGTTTTCCTAGATATTGTCCTCAGTTTGGGGAACCAGGACCTGTGGGACAGAGGTTCACGGCAGGAGTAATACACTCAATCAGGGTGTGTGGTCAGGCGCACCCAGCAGATAAGACCATGGAGCTGATGATAGCAGGAATGTTGGCAGGCTCAGAACCTGAAGGCCTTGAATGCCACTGAGGGTTTTTGATAGCACCTATAGGCACATGGGGTGAGATGTGGAAGGATTTCAACAGGAGAAGGCAGGATCAGCTATGGATGTTGGGAAATTCTCTGAGGCTAGGGAAGGCCAGAGGTAAGAAGGTCAAGGAGGCTGGGGCAGTAGCTCAGGTGGGGAACAGATGTAAATGGTACTTAGAAGGAATAGAGAGTGTTTTAGACCAGGTGCTTGGGTTCTCAGCTCTGAGAGTCTGTGGCTGGGCAGGGAACCTGGGAGGAAGAGTTGATGTTGGAGAAAAGATGCTGCACTCAGTGGGACATTGTATTTCTGAGGTGCTCAAGGGACACCAAGGAAGGGAAAATCTTGTTCATTTTTAATCCCATCCAGCCCTCCTGGCTTGGGGAGGAATCCAGAAGACCCAGATTCTACTAGTGTTAGCTTTGTTTTTTTGGCAGGGGAGAGGGTGCTGGGGGTTGAACCCAGAAGTGCCTTACCACTAAGCCACATCCCCAGCCCTTTTTATTTTTTGAGACAGGGTCTCACTAACTTGCTTAGGGCCTTGCTAAGTTGCCCAGGCTGGCCTTGAACTTGTGATCCTCCTGCATTTAGTTGCTGGGATTAAAACACCCTGCACAGCTAGGTTTTTTGGATGTGGCCAGGATCATCTTGGCTCCAACCTCCTCCTCCATCAGACTGAGAAATCTGTCTGGACCTCACCACTCTCCTGGAGTCCTCCCCAGAAATAAAGAAAGCACAAGTTCTCCTTTTATCTTTATATTGAGATTTTTATAAAGAACATTATGGATGTGGGAGTGGGGAAGGGACAAGGCTTCTATGACTGACAGCACAAGCTATTGGAACCAAAAGCTCCAGGGAATTAAAAAAAATAAAATATATATTTATACATTTATATATCACATTATGCATGTGAGTCCCAGAGAAGCAGGAAGCAGCAGCAAGAAGCATCTAGCACACAGAAACACACGTGCACATGCACCACACTCAAGCAATGCCATCCCTCTGGCTATGGCAGCAGCAATCCCCATTCCCCACCCACCCAAAAAGAAAAGAAAGCTGAAAAGGAACTTCGCTCTGGAAGAATAGGGCTACCAGTAATTTCTGCCCTCATGACCAGAAAAAATTAAAAAAAAGAAAAAGAAAAACCCAGGCATATGTTGCCTTTAAGGCTGGCAGTGGCCATTTTATTCCCATCCCTGCCAAGGCAGGACGTGTTATTTTTAACACTGAGGACCACATCACTGCCCCTCACAAATACATCAGATGGTCATCTTCAAGACCATGTGGTTCTTGCCAGTTTTTTCTTTTTAATAGTCCAGAATAATTAGGATAAAAGGCATCTGCACCTCTTGCTACCTTTAAGATGGCCTTGGGGCAGTGGGATTTTAGTAAGCCTGGCAACAATTCTGCAGTCAACCTTGGCAAGACTGAGTGCCAGGCAGGGCCTAGGGACCCAGGGTCTGTGCTTAAAGCCTCCCGCCCACTAGGAATTATTTACCTCCAGAGATTTTTTTTTTTTTTTACTTTAAAGGGGAGGTGCACTGTACACCCTCCTCCACTGGGAGAATGGGGGGCTGGTGCCTAGCTACCTACCCTCACCCCCCCCCAACACACAAATACACAAGAACTAAGGCACAGCTAGGGCGGGCAGGCATGCTTTGGCAATGAGGCCCCTCAGGAGGCCAGGCATGAACAGCTGAAGTGAAGGGTGTGGGGTGTGTGGAGCTCAGCACCTTTGGAGGTGGGGTGGAGGGAGACAGAAAGGTCTCAGGGCTCCCGAAGGAGGAGGAAGAGGTGATTAGGAAACAGGCTACAGGAAAAACCAGAGGTGAGAAGAGGCAGAAGGGGATTGGGGAGAAACAGTTGGGGGCAAAATACAATGTGGGCCAGCAAACAAAACAGGAAGGAAAGGAAGGGAGACAGCAGAGGAGAGGGAAGAAAAGTTGGAGAAGCATGAAGAAAATAGAGAGGGAAGAAGGACTCAGAGGAAAAAGAACCAACTGCAGACGCTGATGGGAAGAATGAAGAGGTTAGGAGGAGACCGGGAGCCCTTTGTGAGTCTCAGACCTTGACAAACACCAGGCGCGCAGAGTACACCAGGTCAGCCACATACGCCAGCAGGTTGATGGCTGTCAAGATGGCCACAGCCAGTCGGCGGTCCCAGTCACACACAGAGTGGGGGTGACGGACAGCACAGCCCCCATCCCTCGCCCGCTGGGAACGGCCACCATACCTCTCGTCGAACTGGTACAGAGGCCAGAGGACCAGGGCAGTGGCATACAGGATGACAGACAGCAGGGCCAGACCTGACAGGAAGCTGGGGAAGGGGATGGGCAGCATATTGGTACAGTCCCCCAGGTTCAGCAAGATGGCTATGGCTGCCAGGATGAAGCAGATGGCATATACTGCCACACACCACTCCAGGGCCGGCTTGTGCTGGTACAGGGAGGGGTTGCTGATGAAGGCGAAGATGATGCAGGCTACAAAGGTCTCTAGCACCTTGAGCAGCCCTGGCACGGTGGCCATGTATCCCGTGATCTCACCAGGCCTTGCCCGGGTCCAGGCTACTTCAGTGGCATAAGCCACACACGCGATGCAGGAGAAAGCGGTGGCTGCGATGGCGTGGTCCCGGGTACGACCGTGAGACAGGAACTGCACGTAGGTGGTGGGGTAGATGATGGAGGATGACAGGCAGAAGAGGGCCGCGTAGCAGGCGAAGGTGATCGGGAAGTTACGCCAAGACAGGGGGAAGCGGGACTGAAGCCCACCTAACTCCACGATGAGGATGATGAGGGTCACGGAGAAGCAGAAGCACCAGGTGAACATGGACCAGTTACCCATGGGGCCCATCCAGGCACCCACACTGGCCACCAGTGAGAAGGCCACACAGGTGGACAACAGCTGCAACAGGCGCAGGAGGCCCAGGGGCTGGGTCAGTGCGCGAGGGGACCCTACAATCGTTGAAGACCCCAGGCCTGAGGACGTTGTTGTGGTTGTGATGGTCGTGCGGGTCACCGTCACCGCCATGGCTGCAAAAGGCAAAAGACAATGTCTCAGTGAAGTCCCAGACAAAGAAATCCAGTGGCCCAGCCCTCATTTGTCCTAGGACAAATTATTCTAGGACATGGGGCTTTCAGTGTGCAAAACAGGACAGTCCCTGGCATATAAGAATGAATTGGTCACCCTGGTTCTTGGCTCAGACTACCTCACCCAAGTCAGAACCCAGAATTCTGGGTCTCTGTATTTCTCCTGCCCCCTCCAGACACTCAAAACTCCTTTCCTCCTTACAGATGGGACTCAGCGACCAGCAACCCAGCCACTTAACATTTTGAATTCTTCTAGATTCAAATAGGAAGACAAGAGGCCTAACTTGCAGGCTCCAAAATCCCCTCTGAAGTTCCTCCTTATGGAGACGGAAGGCTCTACACTCGAGCCCCTATAAACAAGCTTCCTTCTTTTATGAACTAATAGCCACTCAGACATTTCCGGGTCCTACTTATCCAAGAGTTCAACTTCCACGTGCTATGTTCTCACATGTCTGATCAGAGCTCCAACCTCCCATCTTGATGGTCTTACAAGCTTCTGGAAGGGGGTGTAAACTGCTGCTCCCACCTCTCTCTGCAGAGGTCAGGAATCAGATTTAGATCTAGAGTACTAAAAACCAAGGAAGGCTAAGTTTTCTCCTTTGTCTGTTCCCTCACACTGAGTGTCCCCTCCCCCAGGAGCCCCCAAGTTCTGGGAAACTCAGCTGCTCCCATTCCCAACTCACCCCACCCCAGCTCCTCGCACTGGAGTCCCTAGCCTCCACGGGTCAATCACTCAGCCCTCAGTCTCAGGTGAGTCACATTCTAGAGACACCTTTCTCCCCACTTCCAAATTATACATCTCCCACGCCTCATCCTAAAGGCCCTCAGGCATCAGGACCAGACGCTCAGACCCTTCCTCAGGATGCAGAAATGTCTAATCTCAGCTGACATCCCTAAAAATATCTGGACGTGGCTCTCAGCCAAAAAACTTTCCTCTCTCCAGTGTCAGGCTCACAGCAGAACAAGAGCCAGGCTTCACCTCTCCAGAGGCCTGTCCCAAACAGCTCCCAGAGGACACAGAACACTCTACTTCCCCCACGGATGCCTGAGGCCCGAGTCCTTGGGACCCAAGCTTCAGGTCTCTCTTCCCTCGGATCGAGGTCTGGACTCCAACCTTCCTCCCTCAGGCCCCAGCCTCTTCCCTCAGACCCAGGTGGTTAGGACCTCAGGGCACTCACCTGCGGTCTTAGCTGAGCCGGCCAAAGAGAAAGATCCGGCGATGAAGGCGATTCAGTCGTCCACCTGGAGAAGACTGGTCAGCGCCCCTGGAGCGGAGAGAGGCCCTCTGTGTCAGCTCACAGCTGGCTGACCTGGCTCCTCCCCCCAAGGCCCAAGCGGCCAGCGCCGGCCATGGACTCCTCAGCCGCCGCGCGCCTCCTGGTCGGGGCCGGGACTTGGCTCCAAGCCTAGACGCGTCGAGGAGTTGACCCTACAGAAACACCGCCCCTTCTTCCTCCCCAGGTACAAACTGCTGGCGGGAGTGAAGAGAAACAGGCGAAGGAGCACGGCCCGCGGCCAGCGAGGGGCGTGTGCGATCCTAACCCTGCCCTGGCCAGGGAAGTACTCGGCGGGAGGCGGCAGGCCCTGGGCGGTGGCTGCGGGGGCGGGCTGACCAGCTGCGCCCGACGTCTCCGCGCCTTATAAGGGCTTCAAGTCGGTGCAGCCATCTGGAATGTGGCGCGGACCAAGAGGCGGTGCCGGGACCCCAGCCCCGCACTGGCCAGCGCTTTGCCCACCCCTCGCCCGCTGTCAGGGGAGGGGCGCCCCGACCCCCAGGTCCTAGCAGGGATGGCAGGCCGAATTTCTGGGTTCCAAAAGTGTGAGCTCTGTAAGTACGGGCCGGGGACCTAGACCTCCATGAAGGAGTACTAAGCTGGGATCCCAGACGCCCGGCTTCACCTTGCGGAGGCCCCCTGGCTCCAGGCCGGAAATCTGGCACAGGATGCCCGGAGATCAGTAGCCACACATTCATGAACGCCGGTCCCTGGCTAGGGCTCGCAGAGCGGGCACCTGGGAGGTGCCACGTGGATGGAGTCAGCCACCTCCAGCTCCCCAGACCCAGCCAGGACCTGTTAGCAGGAAGTCGGGACTAGCCGCACCCCCCTAGCTCCTGAAGGCGGGTACTGCCCAGCCGCCCACCGGAGGGTGAAGGAGGAGCGACGTAACTCACTCACTCCTCGTGGAAGGTGGGTCTGCAGGGCGGCGGGGAGGGGGATCCTGCGGAGAGGTGGGGGTCCACCCCGCCCTGAAGGCCTCCAGCAGCTGCCTGAGGTCAGAGCTCGGGAATGCAAAGCCCAGACTGAAGCTGGGAGAGGAAACGCCCCTTGAGGCTTCCACGCGGAGGACTCCCCAGCCACACCCAGCACCTCGGCGCCCTCCCCTCCATTCCAGGCGCCACACCCATCTCTCCCTAGACACGGGGGCCGCCCCGAACCCCGAATCGGCCTTTCTCCACACCAGGAGCTGGGCAGCCTTGTGCTTTCCTGGCCTCCCTGGCCGGACGGCAGCCCCCGCCTTTCAGGGAAGCACAAAGTTCGTCCCCGGGAGGCAGAGGATCAGAAATTTTGAAATACAGCCACTTTCCAAACCCAGGAGTCCCAGCCCCAAGTCCCTCCCCTCTTCCTCTCCTGAGCACCTAGCACACCAGATTCCAGCCCAGCCAGACACCTGGGAGGCCCATCTTGTGTCCACGCCCTCAGGCCCAGGGGTCCCGGCACCACTCCTTCTCCAGTCCACAGCCCTCCTCCCTCAGACCCAGGGTCCAGGCCCCAGCTCTTCTCTTTCAGTCCAGGTTCTCAACCCTCTACTCCGCAGAATCCTGGAATCTTGGTCCAGCCCCAGTCTTTCTAGGGACGTAGACATTCCGAATCACAGCCCATTCCTCCCTCTGGACCCAAGGATATTGAACTGCTGCTCCCGCCCTCTGGGGGGTCGGTCAGCCTCACCTCTTCGGTCAGCGGCGGTTGCGGCTGAAGCAAGCGCGACAGCTGCAGACCAGAAGGGTCTGCGAGCTGGGGAGGGTTGGCGGGCTGCGGAGGGAGCGCGGGCGGGGCCGGGGGCGGGCCGCGGGCAGCGGCCAGGCTAGCGGCCGGGGCAGTAGAAAGGGACTTCCCCAAGCTGGGGCTATCCCCTGCCCGCCCTGAGGGCGGGGCCAAGATCACACCACGCCCCTCCTGAGCTGAAGCTTGTAGCGGAGCTCGGGCTCTACCAGTAAGCCCAGTGGAGCACTGAGGTCACCGTTGCCATGGTGACAAAACAGGAAGACACAACAGCTGGCGGAGTGGGGGCTCCTGGGGGATGCCTTCCCGACACAGCCCAGAGAAGTCTCCAGGATAGGCCGGGAAAGGCTGTTTCCATAGAAACCCACATGTTTGTGGTTTGTTTAGAACAGAGCCCCCCAACTCAGGTCCCCACCCCAGCCTCATCTCACTCAATTGTGCCTCTCCCTTCATGTCTCCCCCCCCCCTCCCGCCCTCCTTGTCTGCTCCAGTCCGCCGCTCTGCTAATACAGAGGAAACCTTAGCTACCTGGGTTGCAACGGATTGGGGAACCAGACCCCTGGGTTGAATAGGATCTGCGTGCTAGGGTCTCTGTCTCCCAAAAAGAAGATGGAGTTGAGGGTGCCAATCCTAGGCTCTACATGAAGTCCTGGCTAGCTAGAATCCCTGACTCCTAGGTTCCTACGAAAGAGTGGAGGCTAGATTCCTGTATTTAAGGATCTTGGGAGGAGGTCCCTTAAACCACGTTTACACTGGAATCTGCGGTGTAAGGATGGGGTGGGAGGGGGTCAGACTCCTGGGTCTCAGATATCACAGTCAATAGGGGTGGAAGGGTGTTGTAGCAAAATTCCTGGACCCAGTGCCATAGGAGTTTGGGGTACGGATTACTGGGTTCCACATGCTGCCTAAGCTGGGGGGCCAGGTTTCTGACTGAAAAGAGCAATCTGAATTCAGACTCCCAGGGTTTTAGGAGCAGAAGTGGTTAAAAGCGAGCCTTCTGGGCCTGGAAAGATATTTTTGGCCTGCATTCCCGGCTCCTGGACAGGCAGGGACTCCAGTCTTAATGAGGACACGGCTGGGTCTGGGGGCTCTGGATTCCGGGTTCTGCAAGAGGGAGGGATGCAGTGGATCAATGTGTCGGGGGCCCAGAGCAGAGATGGGCTGCAGGGTTCATTTTTTTAGGGGCGGCTCTGCGGCCCTGAAACGGACTGACAGCCCAGAAAGAAAAGGGAGCTGAAGGTCGGGGTGCCCCGGGGAGGGGCTGGGCCCCCGGGGAGGGGCTGAGCGAGGACCCAGACGCCCGGTTCCCTCCCTCCTGGCCGCGCTCACTCACCGCGCTCTGCAGCGGTCCCGGGCGCGGCCCAGTTCGGCTGCAGCTGGGCGGGGCCTGATGGCGACTACGGAGGCTTCCCGACGCTCAGTTAACCGCAGCTTCCTCCGCTGCTGCCGCTGGACCCCTTCCGGGGGACGACGCGCGCGTGGCGGAGGGAGGGGTCCAAAGGGCGTGGGAGCTAGGTGTACCCGCCTGCCTGCCCTACGGAGGAGGGAGGGGCTGGTGGGGGACCAGGCTGCTAGCTCTGCAGGGGTGGGGGCAGAGATGGGAGGAAAGGAGAGCCTGTAAGCTCGGTTTTGTGCCCCCGCAGAGTGAGGGGGGTACAGACCCTTCGTCATTCTGTGTCCTGCGTCGGGGAGGGGTTTGCTTGTTTGTTTGTTTGGCTGCACTGGGGATTGATACAGGGCTTCCCTCGTGCTTGCTAAGTGCTCTGCCTCTGAGCTATATCTCCCACCTCTCTTCATTTTCCTAAATTGCCCTGGCTGGTCCCTAGTCTCGGGGATTACAGGCATGGGCTACACCAACCAGCAGGGGAAGGCTTTTACTTTGGGGGTGAGGTAACTGGGAGGGGTTTTTACTGCTCCCAGTATCTGGCCTTGTCTAAAAAGGGTGGGCCTATGTGTTGATAGAAGTCAGTTATTAGTGGAAAGCTCCCTGGAACCTCCCCAGGGAGGTTGACACACCTCCTTGGCCCCACCTCTGCCCCCCTCCTGCCTAGTCACCCTCTTTGCCTGACCCCATTGTGGCAGACTTGAGGTTCAGAAGGACCTCTGCTTACAGGGGTACTATGCTGTGCCCTGTGGTGGAAGCATGTCCTCTCTAGGCACTAAAACCCCTCCATTGCAGGGTTCAGGGTAGCAGGAAAAGGACGCAAATATTTGGCTTTTTCTTTTTGTTTCCCCCTAGAGCTGGAGATGGAACGCACGTCTCGGCTCATGCTTGTTGGGCAAGTGCTCTACCACCAAGCTACACCCCCAGCCCAAGATGCAAACATTTGAAGAGTGAGTCACTGGGTGTGATTTTCAGAAATGGCCCTCTTAGGTTCCCAAGTCTGTGTAATCTGGCATCACACATGTGTCCCTGGTTCAGTGTTTACCCATCCTGTAGGACAGCACCCCAACCCCAAGATGTTATCCCCAACCTGGAACTGCCACCAAGTCTCACACAGGCTGTGCCTCTGTTCCACAAGGCTAGCTGCATTGGGGTGATGGGGTACATGGACAGCACCCCCCTACACACACGCTGACCTCTTCGTAAATTGAGTTCCCTGATCAGAAGCAATATTGTGTGTGTGTTAACATCGTGGTGAATAGAGCCATTCATCGCACACAGAAAGGCTGCTTTTGGCAGAAGTGCAAAGGGCAAGGAAAGCAAATAGCAAGGCCAGAGTTATTTATTCCAGGGAGGAAAAACTCATTGCCCAATCCATGATGGAAGGGGTCCAATGTAATCCTCAACTGACCAGGCCTTGACGACCTTGCTAGGAGTCTGTGCCTTGGTGGGGGTTCAGCAGTGGCTGCTGCCAACAAGGTGGGCATTCCTCAGTGACGGAGCTGGCTAAGGTTGGTGGCCCACCATGGCCATGGGCTCAGGAGTCTACTGAGCAAGAACTGGGGAGGCTAGTGGAAGTCTGACTGGGAGCCACAGAGCAGCCTCTGACCTACCAGATGACATAATAGCATTCCCTGTGACACTCTCTGTTTGGGGGAGAGTTCGCCTGGGATACAGATTTTACTCCATTTGTCACTTCTAGAGCTTCTAACACTAAACATGTGGGTTTTATTTTATACACCAAAAGTCAAGTTTCTGGCACACCGGCACCAACTGGGTAACCAATGTTGTAATTCCATCCCAGCACTGCCTGAAGTTAGGGTCTAGCCCTACGGCTGATGGCTCTGTCCTACCAGGCTTCCCCCACTAGATGCAAATATGGGGCCTGGGCCTCCCATGGCTCTGAACACTGCTGTATCAGGAACCCCAGGACCTCCTTCTTGGGTTTGATGATTTGCTAGAAGGGCACATAGAATTTGGGAAGGCACTGGTATATTTTAAAGGACATATTTTGTGTATCACAGTCTCATACAGATGTACCATACTTTGGGCCCTTTTGACATTTGTTCAGTCACCCATGAATATTTACGAGAATCTCCTGTGTTGGAACAAAGCAGGCTAAGAAGTGCCCACTCCCCTGGAGGACATCTTCCCTTTTCACCAGTGACACAGGGGTCAAGATGAAATCACGTCTTTATCTGGAGAGAATGTTCTTACTGGCCTCTGGCTATAGGGTTCCCAATGTCTTCCCTGAGGTGCACACTGGCAGTTTCCTGGGCCTGATCACCTCCCCTGTATCTGTTCCTTCCTGGTTTGGGGGTCTTATCAGCACAGTATCATCAGAGCAGCTGACCAGAAAGCTGTCCAGAAGGTTTTGAAAAACCTGATCTCCTGGGGAGTCCATTTGGAAGTGACTTGAAGAAAGAATTTCACCTTTAGAACTGCCATTCATCCCAGTTAGCTTCCTAGGGCACCGGCACACATGATCACAATCTTTTCCTCTTCTTTTTCTTTCTTTCTTCTTCTTCTTCTTTTTTTTTAATGGTACTGGAGATTGAATTCACACATACTGACTAAACACTCAGGGTCACTCCAGGTGAACTGGGCTGCACAAAATAATCACTCAGAGACAAAGAAATACCTTTCTCTTTGGGTCCTGTGATGGCTCCTCTGACTTTAGGGGTCCATGGAAAGAGAGAGAGGAGCACATGCTGAACCCTTTTATGGGAAAGAAGCCATTCAAATGAGGCAAAGGGTCAGGTTTCAGGGGGTTGAGTCTAGCTTCCTGATGTCTGCATCTAGGGAGGCCACGCCCATCTCATGAGCTATGTGGGGATCATGGTAGAGCGAGGCCCATCCAAACAGAGGACAACGTGGATTCAGTCCACTTTGCGTGCTTAATGCCCATAGTTCACACACACACAGCCCAGGGCTGGCTGGCCACATCTCCACATCCCCATCACTCAGGGTTCCTCCTACGTGGCAGCTCCCGACACTGGGCAAGCACTCTACCACTGAACTACAGCCCCAGCTCTCTTTTAAAATCTTACTTTGAACAAGGCAGGGGTGGCACACACCTATAATCCCAGCCACACAGGAGGCTGAAGCAGGAGGATTGTAAATTCAAAGCCATCCACAGCAACTTAAGACCCTCAGCAATTAGCAAGTTACTATCTCGGCTGGGTGTGGTACACACGCCTGTGATCTCTGTCTCAAATAAAAAATAAAAAGGGCTGGGGATGTGGCTCAGTGGTTAATCACCCCTGTGTTCAACACACACACACACACACACACATACACACAAATTTCTTTGACTTTGAGACAAGGTGATGCTAAGTTGACCAAGAGGACCTCCAACTTGAGATCCTCCTCCTTCAGCCTTCTGAGTAGCTGGGATTGCAGCTGTGTGCTACTGTGCCTGGAAAATTATCATAATCTGTGTGGTTTAAAACAATAGAAAACATTAATCTCTCCAAGTTCTGCCCCTGAACAAGGGCTCCCACCCTCTTCTGGCTTCTGCGGGCCTCCCTGCCTCCATCTCCACATTGCTGTCTCCTGGGTGTCTGGTCAAATCTCCCTCTCTCTCTTCATGATAGCTATCACTGTGTTATGGCTTAGCTCTTCAGTGAGCCCTAAAGACCCTGTTGTTGAAGGCTTGATCCTCAGCTGACGGTGCTGTTGGGTAGTGGAACCTGTAGGACCCTGGGCCCGCCTCTCTTATTTTGCTCCCTGGCCTCCACCAGATGAACATCTGTCCTCTATTGCGTGCTGCTGCTGTGATGTTCTGCCTCACCGTGGGTCCAAAAGCCGTGGAGTCAATGAGCCAAAATAAATGTTTCCTCCTTGTAAAACTGATTGCCTCAGCAAGATGGCAGCCAGCACAGGCTTGGGCAATTTATGAAAACCAAATATATAGCCTTAAAATAGAACATGGACCTAAATACCTAGAAGCACCCCCTTTGTAAGAGTTGTAATGAAAATTAATATGAATGGAGTAAAGAGTTCTAATGGATTGGAGGACCCAAGAGCCATATCAGTGCTAGCAAAATGGCAGCATTCACATAGCATCAAAGTTGTTCTGTAAGAGCTGTGGCACTTAATGATGTCATAAAAAGAAAATATGAAACTCCCTCAGCCACTGGAAGGACAGTGTTACTTCAATTAATTTAAATAAATAAATAAATAAATACATAGGGGCTGGGGATGTGGCTCAAGTGGTAGCGTGCTCACCTAGCATGCATGAGGCACTGGGTTCGATTCTCAGCACCACATAAAAAATAAAATAAAAGATATTGTGTCCACTTAAAACTAAAAAATAAATATTTGGGCTGGGGAATGTGGCTCAAGCGGTAGTGCGCTCGCCTAGCATGCGCGGGGCGCTGGGTTCGATCCTCAGCACCACATACAAATAAAGATGTTGTGTCCACCGAAAACTAAAAAAATAAATATTAAAAAAATTCTCCCTCTCTCTCTCTTAAAAAGAATAAAAAACAAAAATAAACAAACAAGCTCTCCCCCCATTTGACTTAAGCAGTCTTCATTTCCACCATAGTAAATTTTCTAGATACGTCTTGTAGACCTCAAAGTACTGGAAAGGAAGCTCCCAGAGCCCAGGATGTGGAAATAGCTTTGGGGCCGCCATTCAGCTCCTTCATCCACCATCCTGCGGGCAGGCAAACTGCTTCTCAGTTTCCCGTGTGCTGTGGTAGAGTGGCCCTGTTAGATGCCAAGGGCTGAGTGGATTCCATCCCATAAGGTGATCACATCTGGAAGAGCAGCTGCATTTGGAGCTGCCCTGATGGTGTCCTGAGCCCTGTGAAGGGGGACCCTCTCTGTCCACATTTCAGCTTTTCCCAGGGAGGTTGGGTTTCTCGGGATGGGGGAGCCTCTGCACCCAGAGCCAGGCAGAAGGAGGAAGACTCCTGCTAGAGCTGACCATCAGTCTCCATCACCACCGGCTCCAATTCCTCTTGCTCTCTGCCCTCTGGACTTTCTCCAGGCAAACTCCCCTGTGAGAGCGCCCCCCACCCCACCCGGTGCCATGGATGGAACCCAGCCTTGCTCGTGCTAGACAGGCACTTACCATGAGCCCCACTCCACACCCACACTGCGGCTTTCGCTCCTCCTCCCCTTGCCTTTATTGAGAGGTAGCCCCTAAGCTGTTTTCTGGCGATAATACCTTTCTGCCGTCTGTGGACCTCCTGGCCACTTGGCGTCACGGGCTTCCCACTTTCTGTGCCCTGGATCCGTCCTACAGGTGGCCATGAGGTTTGGAATCCCTCTGTCTTCCGAGTGGACTGGTGGCCTTGGCCATGGCAGCCTCGTCTGTTGAGCCGCGTGCTGTAGGAAGAGCTTCCTGTTTCTTTTTGCCCCACGATGTGAAAATATTTGGAGCCACTGACTTGAAGACCTGCAGCACTGACTGCCCTCCCTGAGGCAGACACCCACCCGCTCCGTTATCCACGCCTCTCCTGCCCACGGCTTCCCCTTCATCCCAGAACTCCCACTAGGCCCTTCCTTCCCCAGGAGAAACCCAGTTCTCCAGCCTTTCTCCCTTCGTCCTTGTTTAGATGTGACTGCACATCCAATTTCAGTCGCACTGTGGCCACCTCAGGTACCCAACACTCCTGTGCCCCCTGTGTTGATACTGCCCCAGTCCTGGAGAAGAAAAGGCCGTGCTGTGCTGACCTCAGCTGTTCAGCACGGCTGCAGAAATGCCCTAGGCGGAGCCAAGTCGTTCCACCACACAAAACCAAACGCTGTTCTCCAACTCCTGGGCTCCAGTGATTCCCCACCTCCTCCCCCTAAGTGCTGGGTCTATAGGCTTGGGACATCAAGACTGCCTTTGATTACCAAGTTCAAATAGGCCCTCATCACCACCCACAGCCGCATCGCAGTCCTCTTGAAGATCTATCTACTCCTCCGCTTCCTGTATGGCAAGAACAGGTGGAGGCTGCAGTTATTTGTTTGTTTGCTTCGTGCTGGCGATGGAACCCAGGGCCTTGCTCACTCCAAGCAAGTGCCTCACCAGTGAGCCACGCCGCAGGCCAGCTGGAGCATCCTTGGCCCAAATCAGAAATCCCCTCCAAATACAAAAACTTTTCGAGTACTGAAATGACACCATGGGTAGAAAATTTCATACCATGAAATTTTGTTTCATGCACAAAGTTATTGAAAGTGTTGTAGGAGGGCTGGGGCTGGGGCTCAGTGGTGGGGGGCTTACCTAGCACGTGTGAGGCACTGGGTTCGAGCCCCATAACCACATAAAAATAAATAAATAAATAAAGGCATTGTGTCCATGTACAACTAAAAATATATTTTTAAACAGTATTATGTAAAATTACCTTCAGGCTCCGTGTACAAAAATTTCATGTTTAGCCTTGGGTCACGTTGTCAAGATAGTCTGGTGTATGTGACTATTCCAAAATCTGAAAAAAATCTGATTCTCCAAACACATCTGGTCCCAAGCATTCTGGATAAGGGACACTCAGTTTGCACCCTATTTTCTTTCTCCTCAACCTTTGGCACTCTCTCTTCCCCCTCAGCTCCCTCTAGGTCTTTAAATAGAAAATAGAAGCTCTTTCGGGGAAGCTCTTCACTTCTCCATTCTGAAATCAGAGACCTCCGTGCCCAGCCAGGGCTGTTCTCCTCTAATAATAAAGAAACTCTTTGCATCTCATGTCAATCTTCTTTTCAACTTTTGACTCCTCCTTTTGAGGATGCTTAGTTTCAAACTCAGGGCTGCACCCCAGCCCCACCCCATTGTGTGTGTGTGTGTGTGTGTGTGTGGGTGGGTGTGTGGGTATGTGTAGGGGTGCTCTACCATTGAGCCACATCCCCAGCTCCGTATTTTTATTTTGAGCCTGGGTCTCCCTGAGCTGCCCAGGCTGGCGTCCGACTGGCGATCCTCCTGCCTCACCCCTCAGTCACTTGGGGTCACAGGCCTGGGCGGCCCCCCCAGCAGGCCCTACCTCATTCTTTTTATGGCCACATCCTGTCCCTCTTAACACACTCCCTGCCTAGCAGAGAGCATCAATGATCTATTGCTCTGTAAACAACATAAGCCACGCTTAGTGGCTTAAAACCACACAGAATGTCTTGCCTCACCGTTTTCTTATCTCACCATTTCTGCATTTCACCGTTTTGGAGCTGGGCTTTCTGCAAGACAGGAATCAGGGCTTGGTCTGGGAGTGGGTTTTCATCCGGAGGCTGAACTGGGGCAGGATCTGCTTCCACACTTGCTCATGTGCTGGTAGGATTTACTTCCCTGTGGCTTTCGAGCTCAGGAGATGTTAGGTCGGTGGCGGCGACTTAGAACAAAGCAGCCTGAGCTGGGGAAAGGAACATCTATCAGGTGCCCAGATGCCGGTGGAAACGCCTGTCAATCAGCCAGATCTCCTGACTAACACCTGTCAATCAGCAGGACCCCCTGGCCAATCCTGGAGTTCAGCCAACTCCCCTGACCAACTCCAATGGGACAAGGGACCCTAAGAACACCTTTTCCTGTCCCAAGCCCTTCCCTTCCTGCTGTGAGCCCCATAAAAGTCCAGTCCAGTCGAGCTGCCACGCGGTTTCTCCTCAGACCCTTCTCCTGTCCCCTCTGTGGGTCTGATCGAGTTCCGCCCGGGAGTGATACCTCAATAAAGCCTCGTGTGGCAGCCTTTTTAAATCTGCCTCCTTTGGTCACTGCCCACCTCGCCTGATCTAACAGGAAAGTTTCTCCTTCAGCCAGCAATGAGAGGCTGGGCGAGGGGCTAGTGAGGAATCCTAGGTAGTGCTCCCCACTTTCTGGGGGAGGCTGAAGCCACAGACAATCAAACTGTGTGTGGTCTGTGTTTTCCCTATATACACACCTATGGTAAAGTTTATGTATAAATCAGGCCTAGTAAGAGATTAACAGTAATAAGTAATAATAAAATAAAACAATCCTAACAATGTACTGAGGCAAAAGGCATGTGACTGTGGTCTCTTGGTGCGTCTTCTGTGTATAGGTGCAGTGCTGAGGATTGAACCCAGGGTGCTCTGCCACTGAGCTACATCCCCCAGAACTTTCTATTTTTTATTTTGAAACAGGTCTGGCCAAGTTGCTGAGGCTGGCCTGTGACTTGTAATCCTCCTGCCTCAGCCTCTTAGGTAGCTGGGATGACAGACGTGTGCCCCTACACCTGTCTCTCCCTCTCAGTATGTTTTATTGTATGTCTTGGCCTTTGTTGTAATGATGTGAAGTGATGAAGGAAGCACTTTGAGGCTTCACTTTGGCATATCCAGACTGCCAGCATGATGACTCTGGTACTTTAGTCCATTATTAAGCAAAATAATTGTGTTCAAAATACTTGAACACAATCCCTCTGATACCTTGACAGTCAATCTGAGAACGAAGATTGCTACCAGCGACTAAGACGAGGGTAGTGTAGACAGCACGTACAACCTGGACAAAGGGATGGTTCATTTCTCAGGCTGGGAAGACTGAAACAGTGGGATTTCACCACGCTTCCCAGAATTAAACCTATCAATCGTTTATTTCTAGAATTTTCCATTTAATATTTTCAGACTGCAGCTGGGGACCATGGTGCACACTATAAATCCAATGACTTGGGAGGCTAAGGCAGGAGGATCACATGTTTGGGACCAGCCTCAGTAACTTAGTAAGACCCCGTCTCGAAATAAAAAATAAAAAGGCTGGGGATGTAACTGAGTGGTGGATGCCCCTTGCTTCAACTCTCATTGCCTCAGGGTGCATGTAGATATATAGATATTTATAGTTTATTTGTTTCAGGAAACTGAAACCTCAGAAACCTCAGGGTCAGGGACCACTGTGTTCATTTGTCTTGGCAAGGCCCCTTCTCTGGCTGCATGTTTTGAGGTGGTATGTGTTTACGGGTGAAAATAAAATCCCTCATCTATCCCTATTCTCAAGGTGCCCAGTTCCTCTCCCCTTCTGCTTTGACTGATTTATTTTGCATCTATCCAGAAATATCCATTGCATAATATCATGCTTTTGTATCTCTCCAGAAATATCCATGCACATCTATACATACCTACACAATGTGTACACTCATGTCAGCTAATACTCATAAGATATAAGGCAGTGCTTACTGGGCCATGTAACAAACACACAGATATTATTTTAAACAAATAATACAGCAATAAGTTTAAGATACAAAAATGCATGCATATGCACAAGGAAGTCCTATCCCCCACTAAACAATGATCTCAATCTTGCTGTCAGACCTAACCCCTCCCATTAGCTTCTCCTATGTTCTTCCAGTGTTTATATGAACATAATGAAACAGAAATATAGACTTATTTTTATACACACACACACAAACAACATCCTGACTCCCTGTCCTGCATCCTGCCCTGTTCTAGGACTGTATCCTGAAGGTCTCTCGGTTGCATGGACACTGTCCCCTAATCCTCTCTTAACATGGCTGCACTAGCTGAACATACTGTCGTTCATCCCGTTTGCTCTAGATGGAGGCTTGGTTTATTTCCAATCTGATAAGTACATTCAACAGGAGTTTTAGAAATCAAATAGATTTCCTTCCTCATCCCCCGAAGTGCAGCCTACGTCTTCAAAACAGAAGCCTTCAGAAGCCTATTCTGCTTAAGAACAGCAGAGACACCATCTGTGAATCCAATCTGCAGCTGAGGCCAAGGAACTTCATTTCATAGATGCAAAAGCCCCTCGGCGCTGCAGAAAGGGGGATTCCTGAGGGCCCCCTGCAGGGCTGCCATAAAAGCTTTTGCCTACCAAGGTTCTTGTCTGCAGGCCATAGATGTTGCCTCTGGTCCTGTGAAGCAGAGGAGAAGCATGTGGAAGGACATTGAGGTCCCAGGAGACTTGGGACGCTTACAGAATCAGGCTCAGGAATTTGGCAAAAAGCCAAGGCTACATAACAGAGGGAATGTTCCTAAAGTCACAAGCAGCCACAGCCAGGCTGGGAGCTGCCCTGCCGCCTGCAGCTCTGTAAACACCATGCCTCTCCGGACCTGCAACACCATCACACTTCCTGACATGGTCGCCTCTTTCCTGTCTAATTGCTATGGTCTGATATGGTCTGAGTGCGTCACCCACACTCACATCACAGGGTGATGTGCAGGGCTCTTGGTCTCCAGTGTAGCAGTGTTGGGAGGTGGTGCCACATTTAAGAAGTGGGGCCTGGGGCTGGGGCAGCAGCTCACACCTGTAATCCCAGAGACTCGAGAGGCTGAGGCAGGAGGATCACAAGTTGGAGGCCAGCCCCCAAAATAGGGCTTGGATATGGCTCAGTGTTCAAGTGCCCCTGAGTTCAATCCCAGATACCATCTCCCCCAAAACAGAAGAAGTGGGGCCCAGTGGGCCATGATAAGGAGCACTGCCCTCAGAAGGAATGAATGCAGTCTTGTAGAACACTAGTTAATTATCAAAAATGAAAGCCCAAACTCTAAATCTCTCTGGCGGCATAAACTCTTCCTTTCTTGTGGATTCCCACGAGGTTGTCATATTGTGATGTAGTTTGAAGGCTCTTGTCAGACCTGAGTTGAGCTATTTCCATGCATCTCCAGAACTGTGAACTACATAAATTTCTTTATAAAGTACTCAGCCTCAGGGATTTTGTTATAGCAACAGAAAGCGGGCTGACACTAGTCCAAATCTTCCCAAGAAGAAGCAGCCAATTGTCTACACTAGGGAGCTGGGGAGAAGGTTTCAGCATTTTAATAAGCCAGACACCAACTCCCATGAGTATGTCTACAGTGAAGAATCACCTACCCTTTCAAATAAGTCAGGATTTACATGCTGGGAAGTCCCCCAAATATCAAACAAGGTGTATAGATTTCACATACGCTGAAGTCCCACAAGAGTGTTCTGAGAAGCAGGGACTTTAGACAACCTGACAGTAGAGACCAGAGAACCCATTCACAGCTCAGGAGCCCAGGAGCCCTGGAGGGCCATAGGTACCTAATGACTGTGGAACTACAAACTCCTATTTATTCAGTGTTTAAAAAAGTATCTTTAGATACCAAATTTGGTCAAGCCCCCTTTTAGGAAGTGTGGGAGGATCACAGGGACTGTCCCACCTAGCTCTGTTATGATAGATCTCACAATGGTTTCCTGATATCAGCCATCCTTGCATTCCTAAGAGAATCCTCACTTGACTACCGTGTACTGTTTGTTAAAACACTGCTAGAATCTGAGCACTGATGCAGACTGACACACTCCAAAAAAGAGTTCCATTCTGCTTCTACAGTGGTCACTTCCCTTATCACCATCACCATCACCACCATCACTTTGAGATGAAGGTCTTGCATATTGCCCCAAACTCCGGACTCCAGCTGGGACTAGAGGGGCGTGCCAGCCACCACCCCTGGCTTCAAGTCAATATTATTTTAAACTGACAAATCATGATCCTTTACCATTACAGAGAACAATGTGGTATTTCAATATGCGTATGCAGTGTAGAATGATTAAATTAAACTAAAGAGCATATCCCTCCAGCCCCTCACTTATCATTTGTGGTGGTGAGACATTTGGAATTTGTTCTTTTTTAAAAAATTATTTTTTAGGTGGATACAATATCTTTGTTTTATTTTTATGTGGTGCTGAGGATCGAACCCAGTGCCTCACAGGTGCTAGGCGAGCGCTCTACCACTGAGCCACACCCCCAGCTCTGGAATTTGTTCTTATTGTACTGTATTTTATGTATGTATGTATGTATGTATGTATGTATGTATTTTAGTGCTGGGGATTGAACCCAGGATGCTATTCCACTGAGTGATACCCCAGTCCTTTTTATTTTTTATTTTGAGACAGGGTTTTGCTAGGTTGTGCAGGCTGGCTTGAATTTGTTGTCCTGCCTCAGCCTCCTGGGTAGCTGGATTATGGGTATGTGCTACTACCACACCTGGCTTCCAAGTAGCTGGGACTCCACCTTTGACCCTGTTGGTGTGGGGGTTTCTCTTTTGTGGTTGTCTTTCTGTGGTGCTGGGGATGGGAAGACCCAGGGCCTTGGGCATGCTAGGCAGGTGCTCCGCCGCTGGGCCACTTTCTGCCTGGCCGCTCTCTGCGCCTTCTGGACTGTTGAAGGCTTATGGGCTGAGGTCTCCCTCTAAGGGGCTGTGGTGGGGAAACCACATTCATCCTGTGTGATGATGAAGACGATTAGATACTTCCAATCTTTCTGTTTATGACTATGCCCTGTTCTAGGGAGACAGGCAGACAACAAATAAGAAGAGCCATGAATAAGAGGCTTTCCAGTATGGAAAGTTCAAGAAGTGAAAGACTCAGGCACCTGCTGTGAGCCATGCAGGGGAGGGTGGGTTGAGGTGGTGACTTTGTTTATTTGTTTGAGATAGTAAGTCTTGCCTACCAAATCAGCAGTGATTTATTCTATTTTATTTTTATTTTTGGTACTAGGGGATTGAACCCAGGGGCTCTGTACCTCTGAGTGACATCCTCAGCCCTTTTCATTTTTTATTTTGAGACAAGATCTTGCTAAATTGCTGAGGCTTACCTCAAACTTTCCATCCTCCTGCCTCAGCCTCCTAATGGCTGGGATGATAGGCATGGGCCACTGGCTGACAAGCAGTGATTTTGTTTTTCATGCACAAATCAAAACTGTGTATATTTATGGTGTGACACATGGTGGATACATACATACACTGTGGAGTGGCTAAATCGAGCTACTTAACATGCACACTGCCCACATACTTATCATTTTTGGTGATCTGTATGCTTAGAATCTCCTGGGAGGTTTTTAATACTGTGATACATTGTTATCAATTATAGCTACCATGTTATACAATCAGCTCCCTGAACTTCTTCCTCCTTCTAGCAGAAACTCCTGGTCCTCTGAGCAGGATACCAGAATCCTGGGTCCTCCTGGCCTCAGCAGGTGGTGACCATCCTCTCTGCTTCCACAGGGTCCACAGTTTTCTAGTCCACGTGGGTGAGATGGTGCGCCTTTTTCTCTCTGTTGCCCGGTCTCTTTCACTTGGTGTAAGTCTTCAGGTTTGTCTACGTTGTAGCAAATGTCAGGGCTCGTTCCTTATTCCTTTTTCTTTATTTTGTAATACTGGGGATGGAACTCAGGGCACATGATAGGCAGGTGCTCTACCCCTATGTTATTTTGAGACAGGATCTAGCTAAGTGGCTGGGGCTGGCCTTGAACTTGTGATCCTCCTGCCCCAGGCTTCTGAATAGCTGGGATTATAGGCATGTGCCTCTGCACCCAACTCTTTCTTTCTTTTTTATGGTGCTGAGGAATGAACCCAGGGCTTTGCACAGGCTAGGCAAGCACTCTGCCACTGAGCTACACCCCCTGCCCATTTTTTTTTAAGGCTGAATAATATTTCACCATGAATGTATGCCACATTTTCCTGATGTATGCTTAGGTTGCTTCCCTACCTTGGTGATTGAGAATTCTGCCACAAACAAGGTGCAGACGTCTCTTCAACATCCTGACTTCCTTTCCTTGGGATCCATATCCAAGAGAACGATCGTGGGTCATCTGGTCATTCTATTGTTAATTTTTCAAGGATCCTGAGATGGCAACATTGAAGTTGGGAGCTGAAGGATGAGGAAGAGCCGTCGCCCAAAGATCCCAACAAAGGGCTGGACATCTCCAGCACGGGCAGAGCTAGCCTAAGGGCCTACAGAAGGGATTCTGTTTAGTGCATGACAAGGCCCAACTGCTAATGTAGTCGGGGAGAGAGAGGGAGGGGAATGACGGATGATGTAATGGGAGGTAAGAAACGCAGCAGGGAGCTGGATCTTGAAGGCATTTTAGGACATGGTAGAGGATCTGGCTTTTGTTCTAAGTGGAAAGGAAAGCAATTAGAGGCCTTTAAGCTGGAAATGACATAATCTGATTTCTGCTTTTGAAAGGATCTTGCTGGATAGAGGAAAGAGCAAAGAAGTAATATAAAGACGGGAAGTGTGAGCCCCGCTCAGTGCTGCACACCTGTAATCCCAGCTACTTGGGAGGCTCAGGAAGGAGGATGCCAAATTCAAGTCCAGCCTGGGCAATTTAGTGAGACCCTGTAAAGAATAAAAAAATAAATCAGGCGTGGTAGTGCACATCTGTATGCCCAGCAGCTCAGGAGGCTGAGGAAGGAGGATCACAAATTCTAGACCAGCCTCAGCAATTTAACAAGGCCCTCAGCAACTTTGAGAGAACCTGTCTCAAAATAAAAATAAAAAGGGGTCTGGGATATAGCTCAGTTGGTAGAGTGCTTGTCTAGCATGCACAAGGCCCTGGGTTCAATCCCCAGCAACACAAAAAATATAAAATAAAAAGGGCTGGGGATGTGGCTCAGTGGTTAAGCACCCTGGGTTCCATCCCCAGTACTACTACTACTAATAAAAATAATCTGCAGGCACTTTGTGTCCTTTTGCAGGTGCTGCAGAGAGGGGCCTCCTAGGCTGTGAGGGAAGATTGCATAATGTCAGATGTGGTGCGAGCAATGAGGAAGGAGGTCAGGCAGGAGAACCAGAGCGTCCGATGCACTTCCAGGTAAGGTGGGTGGGAAAGGCCCCTCTGAGGATGAGGCTTGACCTGGGGCCTCAGTGCCTCCAAAGATAGCCGTCCTGGCAGAGGGAAGGGCGAATTCCGATGCCTGCAGGTGAAGTGTGTGCGGCTCATTCTAGAAGCAGAACAGTGGACACGGCGACTAGAGGAGTGTGAACAGGGAAGAGGAGGAAGGGGCGAGACCTGAGAGCCAGCAGGGTTTGGGGAGTAGGAAAGATACACTTGGAGAACAGATCCCAAAGGGTTGGATCACGGATCCTGGCAGGACTGTCCATGAGCAATTGTGTGGCCTGGTGCAAGTTACTGAGGTTACCAATAGCAAGGTCCCCTCACTCATGGCCGTCCTAATGTGGGGTTTCATCGTTCTTTTTTTTCTCTCTCTCATTTTTTTTTAAGAAATACAAGTATGCACAAGTATTCTCTCTCTCTCTCTCTCTCTCTCTCTCTCTCTCTCTCGGCCTGATTAAAGGAGATTAAAGGAGATTAGTATTAGTATTGGCAGTGCTATGGGGATTAGTATTATCTGATATCACCATAAAATTCATATGCTGGACCCTAATCTGCAATGTGATAGTGTTAAGAAGTAGGGCCCTTGGTGGGGGGTGGTGAGTAAGTCGCAGTGCCACATACGTCCATCCAGGGTCTATAGGTCGAGGTCATGTGAAGGGCTCATTAGCTCCAACACAGGGCTGGGAGAGGCAGCCCTATGCACTGCCACTGGACAGGCCAGGAACACAGGTTCCACCTCTCCACACCTGGCTGATTCTCAGGGTGGAGTCTGCCATCAGCAAGCCTGATGGACAAGGAAGTCTCCCCCGGGACAAAGTGGGTGGGTTCTCCAGACTGTTCTGCTGTGATGCAAACCCTGCTGGCTGGCTGGGCCCCTCTGTGTTGCCCAAGTGAGACTTGGGGACAGGGAAACAGACCCAAACACAATACCCATGCTGCCCACTCGGCTGTGAGCTACGATGTCCCTGTGTGGTCTGCCAGGATCCAGGCAACACGAACAGGAGGCTTCTTAGTACATACAGTACTGTAAAATCCCAGACCTGACCAACACGCCCTCGAGGAAGAGGCTGCTCATCACTCCGAGGTCTCTCTCCCTCTAAATTCCAGACGTGGAGGATTAGGGCCATGGTTCTCCTTCCGGCTTAAGAGCTTGGTGTCTCAAAGGATTTGGAAGGACGTGTGAAGCATAGTAAAATGTTAAGAGAAAGTAACTCTTCTGAGAATCCTTTTATTGCTGTAATGGGACATGCAGATGCATCTTGTAAGAGGAAGAAGCACTTATCTGGAATATTCTGTGAGGCCAATGGGCATATCCAGAGGATTGGGGCCAAGGTGCTCTGGGAGGCAGATGAATTTATCTGGGGGTTTGGCTGCCCACATTCGGAGGGGCTGCTTAGCTGGTAGTCATGGCTAACAGGATGCTGATTTCTATCTACCTCCACTAAACGTGGGGTCCCAGGAGAAGGGACGGAAGACACGTTGTCTTTATCCTTGGAGCCACACAGAGTTTGGGACATGCTGGAGTGAGTGGATGCTGTGTGGGTGAGGAGACGGTTGAGAGAAGGGACTGGAGAAAACGAGGGGAAGGAGAGCGTGCTGGAGGAAGAGGGAAAACAGAGGTGCATGTGAAGGGCATAAAGGGAAAATGTGATATTTCACTTTCTCATTATTTCATTTATTTAATAATTTTTGTCTTGGAAATCATGAGTCAGCCCTATACCTGTTGGTAGAGTTACCATAAGGAGACAGAAAAATGATCCCTGCTGATGTGGAACTTAGAGTCTGTTGGGGAAAGCAGACATTAATAAAAATTATGCATATAAGTATAGAAGCCTTGTGTAGGAAAGAGACAATAGAGGGTTGATCTGCAGAGTGAGAAGGGTTGGTTGAAGAATCTGGAGGGAGGAAGGAGAAAGAGGATCCCGGTACAGTCCAGGTCCCAGGCCCTGCATATCTGGGACCCCCACGTGCTGTGCTGGGGGTACCAACACAAGTGCTTAGAGAAAAGAAGCATTTCTAATAATTTGGGGGACAGTCTGGGATTTGATGGGTCTCTGCACCCCAGACCCCTTGTGTGCAGGATGGTTCTTCAAGCAAAATGCAATGTATAGTTTCTAAAATTTGTGACACACAATTTCCATGTCACCTCTACATAATGGTGTAGAATCACAGTTTGCGGGGGGTGCTGACATTGCTGACATCCTGGCTTAAACTTACCCCTAAGAAGTGAGGTTTGGCCAACCTAGCCCCCCCCCACCCCCGCCTCCGCAGGACACACAGGGTGAGATTTCCTGGAATTAGACCACAGCCAGTTACGGGAGGCCCCTCAGCCCTCTGCACAAGGCTGTCTGGCAGGTAGAGTTGGTCATGGAGTGGGCGGGGCCAGCTATGAGGAAGGAGGATGAAATGGAACCAGAGAGCAGGGTGTTGGTCAGGGGCGGAACACTTGCCTAGCACTTGGGAGGCCCTGGGCTCCACCTCCAGTACCACAAAAAAAAGGAAGCAGATTGTGTCTCACTGCCTCTAATTGTTTTAAAATACGTGGGCTGCTTGGTGACTAAGTCACTCAATGCACTAGAGTCCTGGGGTCACTGCCCAGCCTAGGGTCGCACTGGAGACACTGCAGCCATGTGGTCAGACAGGCCTGGAGACCCTGCCCCCAGTCTCATCTCCAACACCACGTGCTGCCATCTAGGGGCTCAGGGCTGCCTGAAAAATGGGCCGGAAGGACAAGAGGCCTGTCTTTAACCCAATTGTCACTGAGACCGGGGTCTGGCTTCAACATGCAGTGAAGAGGGGAAAACCTAGGGCGAGCATTGTTAAGGAAATAACTACTGAAATGTCCTTTTGGTATAAATGCAATGAAAACCACACTCAGGCCTGTCACGGTCAAGCTGCCGGTGGCCAACAATAAAGAGAAAACTTTGAAAGCTGGCAGAGCTGGACAAGGCAGCCCCTCCGGGAGCAGTGATCTGAAGTACCCCTTATCTCTCACGTGGTGTGGTGTGTGTGAGTGTGTGTGTTCCCCCCACCCCCCAGTGCTGGGGATCCAACCCAGGGCTTCAGGCGGGCTGGGTGAGTGCTCTACCACTGAGCTACATCCCCAGCCCATTTTATTTTATTTTGAGACAGAGCCTTGCTAAATTACCCAGACTGGTCTCAAATTTGTGGTTCTCCTGCCTTGGTCTCACAAGTCACTGGGATTATAGGCATGTGTCACGTGCACAGCCCAGATGACATTTTTAATCTGTTGAAAGGTAAAACAAAAATTCAGCCAAGTGAAGTGGCCCATGTCTGTAATCTCAGCCATTCAGGAGGCTGAGAGGCAGGAAGATTGCCAATGTGAGGCCAGCACAGTCATTTATCAAGACCCTATCTCAAAGATAAAAAAAAGTGGGGGCTGTGGATGTGGCTCAGTGATTAAACAACAACAACAACAAACGGTTTCCATCCCTGGAGAGAGAGAGAGAGAGAGAGAGAGAGAGAGAGAGAGAGAGGGAGAGAGAGAGAGAAGGGGGGTATAATTTGTGACTCATAGAGCCCAAGGAAGGGATGGGCATACTCTGCAGGGTTTGTCAGGAGGCAGAAGGAGACGGAGGAAATAATGCAGGCTGTGGTTTTCATGGGAAGAAATGTGACTGTCAGGGCAAGTAGCTTTAGGATCAGCTGGTTGGAGTGACTTCAGCAGGCTGTGGGACACAGGTAGCCAGGAGTTGTCCTGCGCCTGCCCTGGGGGACGGGGCAGTGAACAACTCTAGGTGGCCCAGAGCATGAGAACCTGGTGGAGGAGGCGTCTGGGCGTGCGCTCTGGATTGGCTGGCCCGTGTAGGAGAGGCTCCTTCTGCGAAATGTGCCACCTCTAGGAACTGATCATCGCTGGAGGGACGCTCCCTCCAGCAAGAGCAAGGTCTCCAAGGTCAAAGCACCAATCCTGCAGAATAGAAAGAGTGACTAGTCCCCCCTCCCAGGGGACCCCCGCCACGCCCCCAGACACTGTGTTGTCACTGCTGGGGGAGCGATCTAGGCAGGGATCTAGCGAGCAGAGCCAGCAGCACCCAGGAGGGCTCCCCACCAGTTACCTGATCCCAGGGGCGACTGTGCCGAGGCCAAGAAACCCTCGTTTAGAACCAAACTCAAAGCCTCATTTCTTTTCTTGATTTACCAGTTTCCTGATTCGGTAGACTTCTTCCTGTGCTGGAACACGGTGGCAAGCTCATTGGGTGCACCTGGACCCCTCCACCTCTGACATATTTAACTGATGGCTCAAGACCCTTCCTCCCTCTTTTTTTTTTTTTTTTGTCTTCCTGTTTGTTTACTTATTGATACTGGGAGTTGAACCCAGGGTGCTCTACCACTGTGCTCCAACCCTCTTTATTTTATTTTGAGACAGGGTCTTGCTAAGTTGCTGAGGCTGGCCTCAAACTTGTTGGGTTCCTCCTCTGTCAACCTACTGAGTCCCTGGGATTACGGGTGTGTGCCACCATGCCCAGTTCCTCCTCCTCCTCCTCCTCCTCCTTTTGGTACCAGGGATTGGACCCAGGGGTGCTTACCCTTGAGCCACCTCCCCAACCCTTTTTATTTTTATTTTGAGACAGGGTTTCACTAAGTTGCTTATTGACTCACCAAGTTGCAGAAATTGGCTTTGAACTTGCCTCAGCCTCCCCAGCTGCTGGGGTTACAGGCACGTGCCACCGTGCCTGGCTCCTTTTCTTTTTGATCATGTTGATGGTCGTGGTGGTGTTGGTGATGATGATCATGGTACTGGAGATTAAACCCAGAAGCAGTTTACCTCTGAGTTACCTCCCCAACCCCTTTATAAAATTTTATTTTGAGTCAGAGTCTCATTAAATTACTAGAGCCTCAAACTTGCAATCCTCCCGCCTCAGCCTCCCCAGTGACTGGGATTGCAGGTGTGCACTGACCTGTTTGGCTCCCATCCTTATTTCTTAAATAAAGAAGTGAGTGAGGGCTGGGGTGTGTAGCTCAGTGGTAGAGTGCTTGTTAGCATGCTTGAGGGCCTGGGTTCCGTTCCCAGCACTGAAAACAAAAACAAAACAAACAAACAAAAACAGATGGCTATCCTGTCCTGAGTGCCAATTTTATCTGGTGGCACTGCAAACATTCCAGCTACTTTCACAGAGCTGAACCACCTCGGCAAATACACTTTGCTGAATGCAGTTCGCTGAAGTATTTGTCATAGGATCACCCCTAAGGATCTTATGGTGGAGGAGCACCTACCTAGCATGTGTGAGGCCTGGTTCAGTCCCCACCACCATTGAAAGGAACAAAGGGATCTTAATACCTGAGACCATACCAGTTTCCACGGCTGCCGTGACCTTCCTGTGACCCGGCTTGGCCCTGTGCTGGTCACCACTGGCTTATAGCACTTATGAGGAATTTTTTCTTTCCCTCCAAGAACAATGGCGTGCTTTAATTTGCATTTTGGGTGCTCTGTTAGGTTATCTGAACTCCTCTGCCTGAGCACCTCTGTGTTTCTGGGGCCCTGCTCGCTCAGGGGCCTCCTGCTTGCCCTCCTCCCGCTGCGAGGTGAGTCATTTCATTTAAGGACTTAAGGCTTCTCAACTTCATTTCCTTCCCCTTTTCAGTCTCCGTTCTGGTCTCCAGCTCCCTCTGTGGACGCTTGAAATCCTTTGCGGTCAGTCAGTGGCCGGCCAGCCCTGGCTTGGCCCTCCAAGACAGACGTCAGAAGCCAGTCTAGAAAACTCACACAGGGACACTTCTCCTTGTCCTCCAAGAACATAATTCCAATTTGGACGATCACCATCCACAAAAGGCCCAGTGGAAGAAAAATGTGTTTTTCTCTAATTGACTGCTGGGTATTTAGTCTGCAGATTACAAGTGTTCATGATTTTCAGTGGCTGTGAACGAGGGGGAAGTCACTTGCCCAGACAGAGCCCTGTAACTTGAGCCACAGTTTGCTCATATGCAAAATCACCTCCTGCCCTCCGTGGTGTGCTCACTAACTTTCCCAAGTATATGTGTATGTGGGGCTAGGACGGTGCTGCCAGCTCTGGCCCCAAGAGTGTTGTGTCCCAGCCTGGACTCCTGCACCAGCTGATTGGCTCTCCCGGCAGTGTGGCTGGGGCTGTCCCTGTGAATCCTGGACAAAGAACAAGCCACAGGCTGGGGATCCAGCTCAGAGGTAGAGGGTCTGCCTAGCACATGTGAGGCCACGGGTTACCTCCTCAGAACTGAAAAACAAAACCCACACTCCCATTTAGACAAGAGGGTCTGACACTTAAGAAAGTCTAGAAGCCAAGCACACTGGTGCCCACCTGTAATCCCACTGACCCAGGAGGGTGAGGTAGGAAGATCGCAAGTGTGAGGCCAGCCTCAGCCATTTAGTGAGGCCCTAAGAACCTTAGTGAGACCCTGTCTCAGAATAAAAAATAAAAACGGCTGGTGATGTAGCTCAACATTGAAGACCTCTGGGTTCAACTCCAGGTACCAAAAAAAAAAAAAAAAGTGTGGAATATACATTTATACATTTATAGCAATTAACTATTGTTTTTGTTTATATTGGGTTCCAATAATATGAACTTTTATTTATGTATTTATTTTTGTTTAGCCACTTTTCCTATCTATAGAAACCACAAAAATTCTGATTAATTTAGAGAGGAAGGTGGAGTATGAATCCTAGGTCAGGGAAAATAGTAACATAGCATGAGTTCATAGCCCAGGGTTTGCTATTTTACATGAATTAAGTCTTTCATGAAGTTATATCATCTTTCCTGTTTCTTTCTTTCTTTCCTTCATTCTATCATTTCATATATATATATATTTTTGTTTGTTTGTTTGTGTTTTTTTGGTACTGGAGATTTAACCAAGGGATCCTTAACCACTTAGCCACATTTCCATCCCCTCTTAAAAATATTTTATTTACAAGGGCTGGGGTTGTGGCTCAGTTGTAGAGTGCTCGCCTAGCACGTGCAAGGCCCTGGGTTCGATCCTCATCACCACATAAAAATAAAAAAAATAAGAGTATTGTCTACAACTAAAAATATTTTATTTACAGGCAAGTTTTCACTAAGTTGCTTAAGGACTCCCTAAATTGCTGAGGCTGACTTTGAACTTGCAATCTTCCTTCCTCAGCCTCCTGAGCAACAGGGATTACAGGCCTGCACACCATGCCCAGAATTTTTTATTATCTTTGAAACAAGTTGTCTTGTGATTGATGGCATGTTGTGTTGGTGTCAGCCAGGGGTGGCCATACTGCCTTTGTCTCACTGCCTCATGCCTGAGTGAACTTGCTCAGAGCTGCTCATTATCTTGCATTGTAGACATGATACCTAATTGAATACTTTAAAAAATATTTTAAATTTTTAATTGATTATAATAATTTTACATATTCATGGGGTACAGTGTGACATTTCAATACACAACATGTAATGATCAGATCAGGGTAATATGTATATTCACCCCCTCAACCATTACCATTTCCTTATGCTGGGAACATTCCAAATCCTCTCTACTAAACTATTCTGAAATGTTTCAATTAAGTATTGTCAACCATAGTTACCCTACTGTGCTATAGATGTTTAGAAGTTATTCCTCCTGGGCTGAAGTGTAGCTCAGTGGAAGAGCATGCATTTAGCAAGGCCCTGTGTTCAATCCCCAGCACTGCAAAACACAACAAGAAGTTATTCCTTCTATCCAACTGCACTCCCATACTTGTTAACCACCCTCTCCATCCCCCACTACCCAACCCCACCTAAGGAAATTTAATTTCTGTATAACATGTTTTCCAACAGACTATAATGTACACTACATGTATAATTTTAAAAGTTCTGGGAATCATCAAGTAGAAAAAACTGATGAAAATAATTTTAATAATGTATTTTACTTAAAATCCAAAATATTACCTTTTTTTTTTCTTGGTGGAACTGGAATTGAACCCAGGGTTTCTTGTATGCTAGGCAACTGCTCTTCCATTGAACTATATCCCTAGCCTTTTTTATTTTTATTTTTTTTAGTTTGAGGTAGGATCTCTCTAAGTGGTCCAGGCTGACCTTGAACTTGGGAGTCTTCTGCCTTAGCCTCCTGATTAGCTAGGGATTACACACACAGGATTACTCCTGCCACTGTGCCCAGATAGAATATTATAATTTCAATATCTGTCAGATACAAGAATGTATTAATGAAACTTGTCATTTTTTTCATACCAACTCTTTGAAATCAGGGGTGTATTTTGCACTCAGAAAATATCTTCATTCAGACTTGCCGAAGTTCAAGTGCTCAATAGCTACTTGTGATTGGTGGCTATTGTATAGGATTACTGGGGTTGGAAAAATGGTAGCCTTGAAACCCGAATGTACTCAGATCAGGCTTAAGGCTCTGTGCAAGTGCTCTGCTAAAACATAATTTATTTCACCTTCTTCATATGGAACAACTCTATTTAATAAATACCTGGTCCTTTCCCCCATACATATCCGTCCACTGTCGTTGCTCCTCCAAGCTGGTTTTTCCCTCCCTGCTCTGTGCTGTACTCCTCTCTGTTCCTCAACTCTTTTCCCAGGACCATAGCCCCATCTTCTTTCTCCATCTGCACGATGCTTTTAGCCCACACCCCCATATTTTTTCCTACTCCCTAGCTGACTTTCTATCCAACAGACTTTTATACCCAGCTGTGTGGTCCCAACATATCTACTTTCTTCTTCCCTGGGAAGCTCCCTCCCTCACTAGCCACATTTCTCTTTACCAAACCAGACGCTCTTCCTCTCACAACCTCTCCCTTTTCTGCCTCTGTTACTTGCTCTTTGCCTACCCCCCCATTTCTCCTGGAACTAGCTCCTTCTCTCTTGTGAACTCTGTGTCTTTCCTTTTGCATGCTTACTCTCTCCCATACTCTGCACTCTTTCCTCCAAGACTTATTATCTACACACTCTCTTTGCCCCCTTTCTGCCAGACCTCATGTAAGAAAAATGGAATCAAGGGGCTGGGGTTGTGGTTCAGTGGTAGAGCACTTGCCTAGCATGTGTGAGGCACTGGGTTCAATCCTCAGCACCACATATAAATAAATGAATAAAATAAAAGTCCATCAACAACTAAAAAAATATTAAAAGAAAGAAAGAAAAATGGAATCAATCAGGCTCCCTCGCCAAGGAAGCAATGACTAAGATGTCCTATGTAAGTCGGGAACAATAGAGCATGCTCATTCTTATATAACCACACATCACATTTGGCATGCAGCTGGCTCGTTGTCATTCTGTATATAAGCTGAGCAGGGGCTTTCTGCAGCATGGATTGAATGAAGATATGTCAGACCTCCCTGCAGCTCTGCATGTCTTCTGTAGACATATATAGACTATCTCATCCATCAATGATGGAATACACTTTCATCCCAGCTGCACACGGATCCTTCTCTAACACAGACCATGTTATGTAAGTTATCACATATGTTGGCATGCAATTGTAATATTACCTTAAAAGATTTTTTGGCACCTGTAGGGTCATTTTGATGGCTCCCTTTCCATTGGTATTAATTTTTTAATTCTTGCTTTTTTCTTGATTAGACTTATTTATTTTTAAATCAAACTTTAGCTATATTATTTTTCTCTATTTTATATATTTCTGCCCCTGCTCTTACTTTTTCCTTCCTACTACATAATCTGAAAATAACTTGATTGTTATTCTAGCTTCTTTCTGATACAAAGACTCTAAGTTGCAAATATTCATCTGAGTACTGTTTCATACCAGAGATCCTGATTTTAACCTTTTGTTATCACTTAGTTTGAAGCATTTTTTATTTGCTTTTACTGTGCTTTCTTCCTTGACCTCTGAGATATTTATGTGTGCCATTTAATTTTGAAGTAGTTGACATGTGGAGGTGAGGTTCTATATAACTTAAGGTGATTGATTTCTAATGTAATAACTCATTTGGAAAACACAGTCTGCACAATTTCAATTTTTAAAAAAAGTAATGGAAATGCTTTTATTTTAATTGTATTGGTTACTTACATGTAAAAACTGATCAAATTGCATACTTCAAATATGTGCATTTTATTGTGCTTCAATTTTACCTCAATAAAACTATGAAAAAAATGTAAACAAATAAAGTACACAGGGGTCAAGCTAATATTCTCTGTATCGTTCCAATTTTATTTTATGTCATAAATAAATACTGAAAAGCCAAAAAATATAAGTAAATAAAGTGCAAGCCAGGTGGACATCCTCCAAGGCTTATGGAGGAGGGCTTCGCTGTGTGTCTGTGCTGTAACTAACGGCAGTGGTGGGGGCGTGGGGGATCCCTGGTGCTTCACTGCCACCACCAGACACATCGCCAACAACAAGCAATGTCAACTTGCAAGGCATGGAGAGAGACTGTGGCCGTGGCAGAGCTGGAAGGGCGGGCACAGTGCCACCGGCCCGTAGTTCCTTCAGCTCCCCAGTGTGGACAGTGAAGAAACCGGATAGATCCTGGGGAACAACTGTGGACTATTGTGGGCTTAGTAAAGTGGCTCCCCCAGGTCAGGCTGCCTTTCCTTGAGTGGCTGACCTGAGGGACGTATTGACTGACTACTTATGGGCATCCATTTTGATTTAGCTAATGCCTTCTCTCCCACAGATATGGCTGTTGGTGGCCAAGACCAATTTTCTTTCATGTGGGATGGGTGGCAGTGCACCATTCCCTTGCTGCCTCGGGGATATTTGCATAGACCATCTATGTACCTTGGTCCAGGAGCCTCTGACTTGGCCATGGCCAAAGCCATCCCCTGTGTGTCTATTCCACTATAATTGGGGATCATTTGTTACCAGTGGTTCCTTTGCAGATTTAGTGGATGCTGTGCTGAAATTGCTAGTCCATCTGGCAACATGTGGTCTGTCTATCAATAGCAACAAGTTGCAAGGACCTGGATTGTCTGCCAATTTCTTGGGGGTTGTCCTGCCAGGGAAGGCAAAAGTTATTCCCAATGCAGTTATTGATAGGTTCCAGGCCTACCGCATTTCCACAACCATAAAGCAATTACAAACCCTTTAGGGATTGTCAGGGTATTGGAGAGTGTTTTTTCCCTCTCTGGCCCAAATGATACAGACTCTTCTGCCCTAGTAAAGAAGGGAGAAAAGTGGGACCGGGCTACAGGAAGTGACCAGGCATTCAAGGGAACCAAGCAGACTGTGCAGAGCGCCCAGGGTCCCCTGTTGTCATCCAACAACCTCTGCCTGGACTTGGAGCATGCTGACCCTCAATGGAACTATACAAGGAGTCATATATTTGCAGGTGGACAACAGTGGGCAACTCTGTCATGACCCTCTAGAGTTATTCAGTGTGGGATGGTGTAAGATGGCTGGCTCCCTACTGAAGCTGTAGAGCTTAACCAGAAGGCACCCCAGTGTGACAATAGGGGGGCAGGAGGATCTATGGGGTGGACCCTGCACGTCTTATGCACTATAACAGTTAAAGGTTCTAACACTGGGAGTCATGAAATGGTAGCTCTGCCTACCCCTTGCCCCTGGGATATTTATGGGTATGTAGACAATGTGGGTAACCATATTTACCTACCAAGTGGACTGGTCCATGCACTGGGGGAAGGCCATATCTCCCAGCAAAGTTTTCAAATTCTTATCCAAGTGTCTATCCAGTTGGGACATGAAGTAGTCAGGGCTCTCCAGAGGAACAGTATCAACAGGAAGTACAATTATAAAAAGGGGATTTATTAGGCTGGCTTACCTGACCAGAAGCTGGATAGTCCACAATGGCCATCTGCAGTCTGGACAGCTGGAAGAACCAATAGCTGAAGCCCCAGACAAGAGGAATTAAAGGTGCTACCTGAGTCTGAGACTGAAGGCTTCTGGAGAATCGCTGGCAGAGTCTGGTTTGTAAAAATGAAGAAGTGAGACTCTGATATCCTCAGAGGATCACAGCAGCAACCAAGAGCGTCCTCAAGAAGAAGGGAGCTTGCATTTGCTGCTGCTTCCTTGTTCTTCCAACTTTTATTCCATCCAAGCCATCATCCTATTGGACGGTGCTGCCCATGCTTAGGTGGGTCTCCATTTCAGTTGGCTCTCCCACATGCCAATCATTCCTGGACACACCCTCACTGACACACCCATAAGCCTCTTAATCATCAGCATATCTCAATCCAAGCAAGTTGACAATTCAAATTAAACCTTACGGGACACTTTCAAGAGAAGGCTTTGCGTGAAGTGCACTCCACAGTGGTACTACTCCTTAGCCTTGCTTTCACCGCAAGTGGCCACCATCGTTCATGAGGTGGAGATTACAGCTCTGGCACTGCACACAGCCAGAGCCCTCAATGCCACTGTGAGTCCTTTGCCTTCTTAAATGAAGAAGTGTACCAAATGAAGAAAGCAGGACAGGGAAATAGGATGGCCCTTGACACACTGACCACCTCCCAAGGTGGAGTATGCACCCTCTTGATACTGTACCCATGGACCACAGTGTCCCTGAACTCCTACCTGATAGTGGTGCATGCCTATAATCCCAGTTACTGGAGAGGCTGAGGCAGGAGGACCACAAGTTCAAGACCAGCCTCAGCAACTTAGCAAGGTCCTAAGCAACTTAGTGAGACCCTGTCTCACAACAAAAAATTAAAAGTTCTGGGGATATGGCTTAGGGGTTAAGCACCCTGGGTGCAATCCCTGCTACCAAAAAACAAACAAACAAAAAAGCACGCACGTTCTTTTTCTTTTTTTTTTTTTTTTTAAGTAGTTGTGGATGGACCTTTATTTTACTTATTTACTCACACGCGGTACTGAGAATTGAATCTCGTGCCTCACATGTGCTCTACGACTGCGGCACAACCCAGCCCCGGAGCATGCACATTCTTATAAAACCACAGGATACATCTGGCGTGCTGCTGGCTTTGCTGTGACCCGGTATATAAAGCTGAGTGAGACTTTGAGCTGTGCGATGGCCACCCACTGAATAAGGTCACGTGGGGGCTCCTTACAGCCTGGCGAATCTCCTTGGGGCTGCCCGGATCTGGGTCAACCTGTCTGGGATAGAGGATGCACCACACCTGGAACCCTCTGCCCTTGCTCCCTTACAGCCCTCCCCCGTCCCCAGTCTTCCCACTCCTCCTGCCACCTCTAGGCTCCATTGCTTCCCCGCCAGGCCTCGCCCTTACTCTGCCTCTTCTCTCAGTGGAGCCTGATCATGCTCTCTTCTTGGGGAAAAGCAAACAAAGGAAGGGGAAAAAAAGGCTTTTCACAAAACTTGAGCCCCCAAACAAGTTCCCACGAGCCATGTTTGAAGAAGTGGAGTCAATCAGTCCCTTCAGGAGGAGGGTCCCTGAGGGAGGGTCCTGAGGCCTGACCCTCTCCCACTTGGAGTCCCTGGAGGGAGGAGGAGTTGGGAGACTAGCGAGGGGGAAACAACTCCCCAGGTTGACATTTGGGTGTGGCCTGGAACGGTGGCCTCCGGAGAACAAGACAGCTCAGTCTTGAACCTCAAATACCGAGTGCTCTTCTCGCTGTGCTCACTCGGGGTCCCTCTGGCCCCCACTTTCTCCTGGTCTTCCGCCTCATTCGCCTTGGTTTATCAGCCCTTCTTATGCCGCGTCCTCCCTCGGCTTGGCTCTCTGGCTCCCCCTTGCTTGGTCTGCACCTCATCCATCTATTCCCAGGATTTCCCTGCCTTTCTCTTTTCTTTCTGTGTCTGTCTGTCTGTCTGTCTGACCTGGTGTGTCTCCTTCCTCTCTGGGGCCTTTCCGCATCTCTGTCACTTGGCTGTTTACCTAGTGACCTGCTCCTTTTGACCATCTCACACCATGTTCCTCTCTGGAAAAATTATAGAATCAGACCCTCCCTGATACAGGAGGCTGTGTAAATTCCAGGTGAGACACTGGGGATACGTGGGCCCCCTTCGTGCCATCTCCAGGAGCCTGGGGCCCAGCAGGAGGGAGCCACTGACGTTGGAGGAGGGGCAGAGCTGGTGAAGCCCTCCCTGAGTCAGGGGGTGAGAGGGCGGTGGGTGGCGATTCCTCTCCTGCAGGTTTTGAGAGATTGCTCGGTTGTCCTGGCCTCAGGAGGTGGGAGGCAGCCAGGTTTCCTGCAGGGCCAGGGTCACAGATTTGGAAGATGAACCTTTAGCTGGACAGAGCCCACGCTGGGAGTGAACCGTGCCGGCCGACAGAGGAAATGAGCTTGTTTTCACCGCCCCGCGGCTCACCTGGCATGTTCTAGGTGTCGTGCGGGTCCTGCAGCAGTGATGGACACGCCAGAGCAGGTGTTAGTCTCCTCTGAGAGGGGAACACTGAGGCATAGACGGGAAGCCACCTCTGCAGGCCCCATACCTGATGCCTGGCCGCACCAGGGCTCCAACCTGGACCCGCCTGTTCCCTCAGTTCTGGCTGAGGAGGATCCCTCCCGGGGTTTGCTTGTGTTTTCCCTGGAGGTGATGGGGTAAATCCTTTCAAGGACTCTGGGGAATTCAGGGTGTCTGAGCCTGGTGCCGACTTCACATTTCCTCTGCAGCCTTATTTCATTAACCAGTTCATCCAATGATTCGTTTTCTCACATTCATCATCTATCTGATTTGTATTCACTATTCGGAGAACTCGTTACTCATTTGTTCAATAATTATCATTTATTGGCTGAGTAGCTGTGATTCTCGGGCTCTGTGCTGGGGCATAGCCAGGGGCATAATGAGGAGTTGGAGAAGTCCTGACCTCCTGGTGACAATAAGGCCCATGTATATGCAGTGCGTATGCCTATATACACACATTCATTTACATCTGTGCATATATGCTTGTGATGGGTAGGCTAGATAGCTATCGTACACATACATACATTCACTGGTACACACATATGCATTCAATACAAAGTGATCTGTATTTTTTTTCTCTGTGGATTGGAGAGTATATTGTGTGTAGAACATAGATAATACATGATTATATGAATATTATATATGATAAATGATTATAGAATTATAGGATGAAATGCACATTAAAAAATTCAGCTTATCTTAGCAGTGGGAATGGCTGTTCATCAAATCCAGTTTTTGTTTCTAAAACACACATTGACACCTTGCGAGCAGATCCCCAGCCAGGGGCTGTGTTTCCAGCCCCTTTGCAGACAGGTGTGACCCTGTGACAGTTGCGTTCACTGGAGTGTTGGTGGGAATGATGGGGCACTGCTGCCAGCATCGTACCCCTGCAGCTGGAGGCACAGATGGCAGGAGCCTGTGTCTCTACCCACCTCCGGGAAGGCAGAGATGCCAGGCACCCCTGGGCCTTCTGGGAGTGAGCCCGGCCTGGCGCAGGTGCACAGCAGCCGCTCAGAAGGCGGTGGGGATCGCAGTTTCCTGCTGACCCGCCTCTTCGCACACAGCAAATAAACCCACTCAGAAGCAGCTGCCGTATTCTACTTTCTAAATGTGTGGATCGTCTCCTTCCAAGTCTTCAAACTTTGTAAGAGGGAAAAAGTCCGTTTGAAAGGCAGTCTCCAACGAGAAGTCGTTAGATTATCATTAGGTCAACAGGTTCAACTCCCCACTGAGGTTTTCTAAAGCCAGCTGGGGACATAGCTCCTTCTCAACCTATTTGTGAAGCCATCAAGATATGGAGCAGTCCTCAACAAGGATATTTTTCTTTCTTTCTTTCTTTTTGTTTTTTTTTTGGTGGTGCTGGGGATTGAACCCAGGGCCTTTTGCATCCAAGACAAACACTCTACCAACTGAGCTATATCCCCAGCCCCCTAACAAGTATATTTTTCAAGGCATCATCTCTAAGATATAAAAAATATGATTCTATTATTTCAGGAAAGTGTTGTCTGATTTTTATGGAATCTTATGAATTTATGTCTATACCTCAGTAATGGAAGGCAACTTGTCTTTTTGGTCTAACTTGTTTACTGTCTCATTCTGAACTTCTATTTGTTACTCAAGGCTGACGAAGCCAAATTTTGAGTATAAAAGCTTTTTGTTTTAGAACACATTTGAAGAATGGCCTGAGAATAGAATTACAAAGACACAAATTCCTTCCTGAAAGCTGATTTTTTAGCTTAAGCCAGCATGGTGGCACATACCTGTAACTGCAGCTACTTGGGAAGCTAAGGCAAGTTCATGGCCTGCCTCAGCTATTTAGTGAGCTCCTGCCTCCAGATAAAAAGGGTGAAGGATGTAGCTCAGTAGTCCAATGCTTACCTAGCATGTGAGAGGGCCTGACTTCCAACCCCTGAACTGCAAAACACACACACACACACACACACACACAAACTAGCTCAGTGACTATCAATTAGTACAGACTGAATAAATATCAATGATTTTATGACTGTGTTCATATTGGGGACATCTTTCTCCTTCTTTCAGGTACCCAGAGCATCCAACACTTAGTGCTGTGAGGGGATGCAGAGTCCCCTGTCCGCCACTGGCTCCCCCTGTTTGGGCAGGAACTATGGGCCTTCACTCCCTATCAGCCAGCCTCCACTGGTCCCCTGCTCTCTGATTCCAGCCCCGGATCCTTAGCTCGCTGGTCCAGGAGGAGGCCAGCTCCCGTCTGCTCTCTGTTCTCTCCCGAGCCTAATCAAACTGTTGTCCACGCAGGTGGTCCTGGAGTTGACTCACTCAGGTAGAGACAGATGGACACTTGGTTTAGCCAGAGGCTACCGCAGGTGAATGTGCTCAGAAGGGGGACACAGAGGACTCCGATGGAGGAGAAGAAGGGACAACTGTAGAGATCAGCTGGGGTCCCATCCTGAAGGGCCTGGAATGGCAAGTGGGAAGCTGGGACTTGATCCTCAGGGAGATGGGGAGCCAAGGAAGAGCTCTGAGCAGAGGAGAGGCAGGCTCAGCTCTGAGAGTTAGAGATCTCCCTGAGGTTGACGTGCAAGATGCAATGGAAGGGTGACAGTGGACACCACGAGACCAGGACACTGGAGAAGTGGGCCAGACCTTGGCTGTCCAATGTGGCGAGCACGAGGCACATGTGCTGTTGAGAACTGGA